AAGTTAGGTACTAAGGCTAATGGATATCTTGATGGCATGAAGATGAGAACTGGATGGTTTTCTAAAGTCAGCAATGACCTGCCTGCTTCTGTTCATCTGTTTACTATGAAGAGAACCAGGATGAACTCTATGAATCAAGAGAAAAGCTGCTGCTCAGACATAAAAGTGACATCAGCGTCTGTATAGCAGCTGCCACATTCCCGCCCCATGAATTCAAGGATGAAGTCGACTGTTTGAAACACTGTCAGCATGAGACTGCTGTGCAAAAACCATGAAATAAATAATAGAATGAAATAATTAAAGGTACAGTGGACGATTTTTGCACATTTTCGAAAAGACCCGCCCCCTCCTCTTAAAAAAAAGTGATAAAAAAAAAGTGCTATTAAAAGTGTGCGAGAGTGTGCAAAAGCCCATTCTCTCGATTTTCTTGTGCATGCTCTTTTTAAAAGCTGCTGTTTGCATCGCTCATACAAGCTCACTTTACAAAAGAAGATTTGCAATTTTTCCACTATGTCAGACTCACCACCGGTAAGTGAAAATGGGGGCGAGCACGTAGGACGGCCTTACATAAACACATCACTAGAATGATTGACAATTAGGACGACCACTTATTTAGATTTATGATCCATCAGGAAAAAGAACACCCACCACTGTACCTTTAAGTATATTTATTTAAAAAAATATATATCTAATTTTATTATTCAAAATGTATATTTGAATATTTAAAGGTGCTTTCATTGTTAATTTCATAATTTAATTGTAGATTTGATTATTTAATACAAACAAGTACTAGATTAATCTTTACGGGTTATTTAATTGAAGAAGGTAATTATTTATGTAATATTTGATGATACAGTCACATATTTTAACTTCATGACATATTTATATATTTTTGGTCAAATAATTGAATATCTTCTTCTACCTCATCCCCTCACCACCTTCTCCATTCTTGCTCCACCGCTGACAGACACTTTTCCTCCTCTCCCCTGTAGGTCTGGTTTATCCCACAGAGTCCAAGTTCATCAGCCGTCTGAGAGAGATGGAGAAGACAAATAAGCAGGAGTCCATCCCTCTCATTCCAAGCACTCTCCATGAGCTTGACACCATGATGAAGCTGTGCTGTCACAACCCTCCCAACCTCCCTCGGCAGGTACAGGCAGGATCAGCTGAAATCCGCTGGTTCTGAAAGCTGCTCAGTATCCTCCTCTGATGGAAACGTTGATAATTCATCTAATTGTTTTGTCAGATCCTGCGAGGTTTCCTGGCCAACAGGATCCCAGACAACGACTTCTATAAAGAAGGTCAGTTTTTGTGTTTTTGCCCTCAGTCACGGTCTTGTTTAAGTTCCCCTGGCAAAGCTTCAGAATTAGGGCAACATTGTCGTGGAAGATGCAAAATGCCATTAAAAAAAAACATTTACTAACCAACATTGTTCATTACAAACCTCACTTATTTAGAGAAATTTGGACTGGCAACTTGTCCAGGGTGTACCCCGCCTCTCGCCCATAGCGTGCCGGAGATGGGCATTGGCCCCACCATGATCCTGATGGAATAAGCAGGAGAAGATGGATGGATGTTTTAATTGTTATTGTGTGAGGTACCAGTTATAAAGCCTCTTTCCCACATTAGCAGGTAAGCAGGGTTTTTCAAAGACGAGTCGACCAGCTAACAATCAGCATTNTCCCGAACTATCCCTTTAAGTTTTCATTTTCAAGCCATCATTTTCCTGAGGTGTAACAACTATTTAGTGAGCAGCCACCCTGCAGGGGAAGATAATTTAAGCCACTTGCATTCGGGATCTCAGATTGGATCCAGATTTCACTATATGTAAAGATAGGAACTAAGCGGTAAATCGAGAGCTTTGCCTTTTTTTTCTCAGCTCTTTCTTCACCTCTGCACACCATTAGAGTGTCTGCATTCAGGCAGCAGCGTCACTAATCTGCCTGTCAGTCTCCCACTCCATTCTCCCCTCACTCTTGACCAGGATTTGATTTTACTTAAATGTTACACTTGGCTTTCACCACCCCAGAGCATGGCTTGTCTGGAGGGAGCCAGCAGAGACATTGCACTCGCAAAAAGCAGTGATGAAATCCAATGGAGCTTTCTGACCATGTCTGCTGCCAAACTCTAACTCCAAGCAGAGTCTTTTCTTCCACCGGGGAAAGATGCTACGGGTCATAATTCTTGTCGAGTTAGAAAAAAAATATGAGCGCTGAGAGTTGATATCCAGTTGATATCCAAGGAAGAAAAGGTTTTATTTTACTCTGCAGAGGAGAACATCACAACCAGCCTAAATGCAGCTCAGTGATGTTCTGAGGCTGCAACATTCTCACCTCTGCATAAAAAGGGGGACTTCACACACATTAATATTTTCCGAGAGAAGCACTTCAAAGGACAGAGATGACAATTGTTTTCTATTCACACCAGGACGTGAGAATCTTGACATGTTTCCCATATATCTAGCCTAGGGGGGGAGACTTCCTTTAATACTTCTTTCCAAGAGAAAAAACAGACTTTAACATCACTTACAAACAGGCCAAACAAAAATACCATTCCACATTCTCTTTGTTATTCATTTATATACAAAAAACTGAATTACGACCATTACATTGCAAACTTAGTCTTGTTATTTCTGTATCTTGTTATGGAAAGCTATGTGTCTTTCCATCTTTAAGCTTTCTCTTCCTGAATCTTTCCTAAAAAGAAATCACTCAGTACTAATTTCTTGTTGAATACTAGGTAGGGTAAACCTCCCCTGCAAATTTAGGAAAATTCCTATTGAAATATGCATTGTCAAACTTCACAAATTGTCATTAAACTGTATTACTGTACATATGTGCAGAAATGCACCTGATATCTTGAGTATGTTGGTAATAAATCAGCTGCTGAGCCTGTCTCTGATAGGATGTCCCCTCTACTCTGGAGCAGCAGGACGCTGCCTGTCAGCCTCTATGAGAAATTCCTGTTGAGGTTTGGGCCTCAGTCTATTCAGGTAAGCAGAGAGAAAGTAGAGCTCTGATTGGATAGCACGCCAAAATAGGTCACTTCCAGTGAGGCTAAACCTCTAAGGAGGTGGGGGTCCTGCTGGCGGCGCGCCGCTGGTGTGTGGGGGTCCGGGCGGCTCCGGCGGGGG